TTGAAGAAACAAGTTGATTATGGTTCCCAAGTCACAACCAGATACACCCAAACTTGTTTGTCAACACGGGAATAAATGATGACATATTCATTGATTTACAAAAGCATTAGCTTGTGATTGTTTCTTCCATCCTTGCTCTCCCACATAAATGATGCTCACATGATAAAGGAGAAACTTGAATATTTACAAAAGCTTAAACGCACACATTCACTAATGCCTCACTATAATGGAAATGCAACAACAACCACCTCACACCATAAGCACAAAGTAGCAATGTAGGCAAGAGAACTTTAAAAGATTGAACTTCAAATACAATAGCCTATGGTATTATATCACATTACCTTGAGGATCAGACTAACAATTTGATGAAGGGCATTTTCTGCATCAGAGAATACATTGTCACTGTCTTTAGAACTTATAATGATCACCCGCTCTTCATGTCTCTGTAAAACAAAAAATCTGAAGTAAGAACTATTTCATGTTAATATCAGGTGAGGAAGATCTGCTACAGAAATAATGCAAAAAAATATGGATAGGTACAGAAGTTAAAAATGTCCAGCAGCACAAGCCAATCTGCCAAAAATTGACTTTGTTTCGTTAGTCTAACAGAGAATACTACTCAGCCAGACAACAAACAACACTGTCTCACATCATATTCCTATCTTACATTTTAAAAATGTCTCTTACATGCAAATGTTAATTATCAACCAAAAAGGATCACTAAAATAACATGCAATGATCTTTCCAACATACAAAAACTTCTCTGCAGCTGATAGACTATGATTCCTTCATACTTCCCTTTTTGGCTGTTTTACTTCAAAATTTATAATTAATAGGAATGCATACTCAGCGTTGACAAGAATGTTGAAATTCAAAATTCACTTTCACTTCCACACACCGCAAGTTCCACGTAACCTTTTCAGCTAAATAGTTCGTTTATATTATTTTCTTCCTTTCCATCTCATCTACATTTATTTTTCAAGACTAAGAAATAGTTAAAAAAATAAATCTGCATATTATTTTGTACATATAGAAAACGAAAGGTTACTAATTAAGCATGTTTATTTGTCCCAAATTTCCATTCAAGAGAAACAAATTCATAAATTTAATGACCAAAATAATTGCCCTTCTATCCTTACTTCCACATCTCAAATGAGCTCAATTCGTAATGAATTTATTATACTTAATGGAAAGAACGAAGACTTCATGGTCAGAATTAAATCATCGTCTCCTCTCCCCAGAACAGGTAACCGTTGGATCCAATTTATCAAGAAATACATGAATATTATCACGAAACACACTGGAAATATTATCACGAAACACAATGGAAAACTAAATTCAATCAAGATGACGTATTTACGCACAGAAATGGCATCGGCAATCTTAATAGTTGCTTTAGAATCATCTCGAATCTTCTGAATACGATGACCCACTCTTCCTATTACTTTCCCGATCTGCCTCGAAGGCACCACTATGCGGTATATAACGTCGTGCGTCGCCTTCACACGACGTTTGGGTGCCGGAACATCGGTTGAAGTCTCCACTTCCGCATCTACAGCTGTATCCTCTTCGCGAGGCCTCTTGAGATTGTTCCTGGTATTAACAGCAGTAGTGGAAACGCTTGGATTATCAGACGTCATCGTAGATGAAAACGGAGGTGGATCCGGAAGTGGTTCAGTCGCTACTGAAAGACTTGTGTTCGGGTTCCGATTCGGGCTAGAATTAGGGTTTCCGGGTGTTTCCAGGTGAGACATGGAGCTGAAGGCAGCGATAAACAGAAGAGAGAGAGGGATCAACGATCGGGGAGATGCCGGTCGTATTTGAAGGGTTTTCAAGGTGTGTTGTGACGCTTTTGTCCTCTTAATTCCTAAAAACTTCTATTTTTAGGTTTTAATTTAATACTTTATAATAAGGTGCAAGTTCATTGTTGATGTACAAGTAAATCTAGGAATGTCACAAGGGGCTCGGCGGCTCGGCTAGTGAAAATAGGGCCGTGGGTGGTTTGGGCTCGTAAAATTACGAGCTCGAGAGGGCCTCGCTAGGAGGTTTGCCGAGCCCGTTCGACTCGCCTAAAAGGCGAGCCCACGAGAGGCTCGTTATTTTTAACGAGCCACGAGCTCTCCTTCAAACGACGAGCCACAACCTGCTCGTGGCTCGCAATGAGCCCCCAAAAAAAGTAAAGTGATCGTTTTGGTCACTTTTCACTTAAATTATTTTTTTAAAATTTTTCCCCCCTTCTACTATAAATACTCCTTAACCCCATTTTTTTTTTTTTATATCAATTACTCAATCACTACTCCAACTCTCTCAACTATCTTTTATTATATCAATTATCGAGTTTTTACTCTCTTGTGCTGCAAAATATATAATATCAATTCAATTTTTACAGTTTATTAGTTACAATTTCAATTCATCAAATTCTCAATTCTCACAATCTCACTACATTTATATTCTTCTAGTTATTACATTTGGATTTCATCATAAACAATCAAACAAATAGATCAGCACTCATTTGTTGAAAGCTTATTCGATACGGGATGTGGGCTACATCATGGCGAATCGCCTAGGACGACGCAAAGTAAATTTTCAAATGAATTTGTCGGTCTAAATGACATACCCATTCCTAAAGATATTCACATTCACGGTCAGGGAAGCCACGATCCAATTTATTTTGATGATATTAACGTTTCCGAAGCGGAACATGAGGACGAAGATACCGAATTAAACATTCCAGATGCGAGGGGAAGGTGAAAGGCCAAAAAACAAGCAAAATATTGGGATCACTTTAAGTTGATTTCAACGGGAAAAGTCGTTGATGACCTTGCAAAATCTAAAGCGGTATGTAAATACTACCAACAAAGATTGGCATGGCAAAAAGGAATTGATACCACTCATCTCAACCACCACTCCAAAGCATGTGCAGCCATACATTGACTTCTTCCAATTGGTCAAACACAATTGCAATTTGACAGTTCAAGCGTCGGTTCTACAACTTCACCCCTATCCACATGGGTGTATTCGGAGGACAATACTCGAACTGAAATGGTAAAATTTGTTGTTGACACTGAGTTGTCTCTCGCTATTGCAGACAACCAACATTTCGTCTCCTTCGTGAAAGAATATCTGTAACTGAGGTACGTTGGGGTAAGTCGAAACACTCTTCGTGCCGATACAATCCAATATTTCGATAATTCAAAACAACAATTAATTATGGATTTGCAATAATATAGGAGTGTTATATCTTTAACTTCTGATATATAGGAAGTGATTAATAAAAGAGCATATATAGCTGCAACCGTTCACTATATAGACCCACTTTGGTTCACGCATAAGAAAAATATTGCTTTTAGAATTATTAAGTTTCCTTACAATACTAATAATATATATAATGATATTATCAGTATTGTCAGAGAATATAATTGCGAGACTAAAATTCGGTCTTTTACTTTTGATAATGCTAGTGTTAATAAGGTAGTCGTCGATAAATTGTATATGACACTTCAACCTGATGTTGGAGGGTATTTGTTTCATATTCGTCGTGTGTGTCATATTTTAAATTTAATTATGCAATATGACTTAAAACATATAAAGGATGAATTTCAAAGGATTATGAATGCATTAGTATATATTACGATCTTTCCTAGTAGAAAACAAGCATTTGAAGATTTTTGTGTCGAATTAGGAGTGACGACTGCTAAAACATTTGTTAGTAATGTAGGCCATAAATGGAACTCTACTTACTTGCTATTAAAGTCATATGAAGGTTTCGAAAATTTAATAACTAACTTTTATAACAATAGACACGTTAGAAGTGACGACGATGGTATGTTAAATGAATCCGATTGGATTTTAGCTTTGAAAGTTAAACGATTTTTTATATCTTTTTAAGAGACTACAAAAATTTTATCCAGCGTTCATTATCTCACAAGTTGTATGGTGCTTAAACGACTTTATATAATTGCAAGAACATTTCATAAATATAAAAGTAATCCTGCTTTTAGTGAAATTATAATTGCTACGGAATTAAAGTTTAGAAAATATTGGGAAGAACTACCTATGTTATTTCTTTTAGCACGCACAATGGATCCCGATACAATATTTCGGGAACTAAATACGTAATTGATCAAATCAATAAAATTTTAATACTTGATACACCTATCACCTATAAGAATTTAGAGCAAACATTATGTGGAATGAATGATTTTTATGTGGAGAGAATGGTTGCGAATGTTAGTCGGGTACCCTCTGCACCTACTCCTTCTGTTGAAATTGAAGAAGATGATGCCGAAATAATGAATTTATTTCAAAGTATTAATACATTTAGATATGATGCAACTGCAATGTGTTCATCTAGTGCCATGTCGTCTACATTTGCGTCTCATCAAATATCGGCCGAAACTCAAAATGCGATGCCTGCCGAATTAATTGATTATTTCAATCATAATATGTCAACAGACAGAACAATTTAAAAAAAGTTCAAAAGAAGTAATTGTATTCTTGCGAAAATATGAAAGACGTTGATCAATTGTTTCTGCAATTGCGAAAGATCTGCTAATACCTCCAGTTAGCACTGTTGCTTCGGAGTCTGCTTTTAATACAGGTAAAAGGGTTTTGATCGATGTCAGGAGCCGACTGAAAGAAGATATTTTGGAAGTGTTAATGTGCATGAAGGATTGGCAGGACACTCATTTTCGACTATAAGATAAATACGCTGAAATTGTATGTCGCCAGGTAAGTGATATTTGATTTAATTAATTTAATCAAAATTTCTTTATTTTTTAATCGTTAAATTTAATTTTCTTTAAAAAAATTGTACATATTACAACAAGTTGTTTGTGTACAATTTTTAACTCCGCCTACTTAAAATTGATGTAGTAGATTCCAAACACAGATAAAGAAAGAGTGTTTACATTTTATCTACTTTAAAAAGAAATCAAAAAAATATATTTTTTGTAAATGTATTTCAAAAAATAATTCGTCTTCATTA